ATGATATCTTTCGATTTAAAAGACTCTTACAACGACTTGATCTGGCTTGAAATGACCTTGGATTTTTTCCCGTGACTCCGAAGAGAAAAGTTTCTCAGATGACTTCAAATGTCCTGAAAAAAACCCTGTTTTATTCTGACTTCACAAGTGGACAGCCCTTCAGTTTCATTTCTCCTCTCGCAACGAGGTGTCACAATAGATTTGGCCATCAAATAAAATTAAACGATCCATTATTGCTCGGCTTAATATCCGCGTGCTCATCCCGCCCGTGCCTCGAACCCATGCTTGGACGATCACCAGCCGTAATTGCTAGCCTCAGCCGGCAGAACAACGAAATCAATTCATCCATCTAGTCCACCTCGGCCCCTGGTCTTATTCCACCAAATCCTTCACCGAAAACCGTATATTCTCCTTCCCCTTCAGAAAGTGTAGCGTACAAGGGAAGGTCAGTTTGACGGCTACAAAGATAAGCCGGACAAGCGCGCGCGTGTCTGGAGAAGATTCGCGATAAATACCCTTTCGTAGCTTATAAACCCACACCAGAAAAATTTTCTCCTCGCGGGAAAAGGAGATTTATAAAAGCCTCCGGGAGAGCTAAGAGGTTTTCGCCTGGAATGGATGTATGTATTGCTCGCTCATCTACGATGGCTCGAGATTCTTCGGACAGGGATGATCTTTTTACGGTAGGTTCTCTCAGGAAGATCAGCTGGACAGATAAACCAGCTTTTTCAAAGATTCCTCATTGCTCGATATCTCTGCAACTCACCTAGTTACACGTTTGGATGTGGGGTCTTCATTACCGTACCAGACATGAATTTCCATTTAAAGTTTTTAACTCGGACATTGGTTCGCGTTTCTTCTCCGTCGATATTGAGGGGAGGAAAAAAAAGAGGTTGGTGTCCTTGATAGGGGAATGCTCGTTCCCATTTCTAGAGCGCAAATGCAAATTGCGACGGACAGTTCCGGGCGAGAGCTTAGTTCAGCGGAATTTTCTCCTTCGACGGAAAGGAAAAAAAAAAAAAAAAGCTGGCTTCGCTAGGGGAGAAATGGTGAAGAAGCAGAAAGTAAGAAAGAAAATCGTTTTGTTACGGTCTTGTATTGTTACGACGAGGAAATGACTCTGGGTTGATTACTTTTTCTTGTTTTCTGATCAAGGCTGAACTCGTTCTTATTATCAGTTTCTCGTAAAAAAATTTTAGTAAGAAAAAGTGTATTGAATGTTGTTTTGTGTGACACTTTGACACAGCAAAAATGGAAATTTGACTTTAAATATCTACTTGTCCCTTTAGTTGTGAAAATTTCGTCTAGAATTTTAAAGTTATTGAGATAAAAACTTTATTACTCACGCGCCTCTGGTGTAAGTACTGGAACCACATGTTTACACTCCCTAGTACTTCTACACGTGTTTATTGATTCATAAATGAAGATCACGCTTAAACGTGTTATCAGATGCAATACAATAAAAGTAAGTGGATTAGTAAATTTTTTAAAATCGTCGTTGTAGGAAAACAATAGTAATAAAAAAGTCTGTTTCTTAAAAGATAATCGATATTAATGCAATAAATCGCCAACGATAGAATTTTCTTTATTTTATTTTGTTATTTTACTTAATTCAGACAAAATAACGAAGAGTATCAGAAGTCCAACAAGTGAATTATCAAATATCTCGGACATCTAAGATCTCGTTTAAGATGACATTTCTGTAAAAAGCGTGACTCATTTCGACGTACGAATGTCACAAATGACTTTTACAAAAATTCACATATTTATTTACATCCAACGAGAGACAAAAAAAACAATCACAAAAATTACAATTCTAATGATATTTCAATTATTTTATTTCATACGTGTAAAGTTTATATAAATTTTTATATTATTAAAGGTTAAAAATATAATCACTTTGGCTCTATAAAATACAAGTTCACAGCATTTCGACGCAAAGTCAACAGTATATAATATAAAACAAAAAGTTTTATCACACAAGTTGTTTCGCATACGTGCACCTTTGGCGCGACTATTCCATCATCCACCAGTGTCTCGTTGAATTACTTTTTTCGGGTGAAATAATAAATGCCACCACCAATCAAGGCAAGTATTATTGCTATTACTATGATACACCAGCACAGTCTTCCTAACAAGTATCCACAGCAATTGGCGCACATAAGAGTGCAACAACAGGAACTTGATGATTCCTCATGGACCACGACAACGTCACCTCCATTGCGATGATACGAGCTGGACATGGTTTACTGTATTACGTGTCCCACTGGTCAATTGAATGAGTTCGGTTTGAGCGAGGCGTCGATGTTTCGTGCTCTTTTCAATCTACCGTATGCTTATCTCTAGATAAAATGAATGGAGCTTGGGTGAGGCTCACATACACACTCACGGATGGGAATACCTTGGCCGTGACTAATTTTATCGTAAAATTTTGCCGGGCTTATCTCGATGACGAGGGTTTTTTTTTTTAGAAGTGATAAATAATCCAATAAAAATAATTGATTTTATCTCGCCAACAATGATAATGGACGATTAAGATGATTAAAAAAAGGAATTTTTAGAACATCATCCACATGATTGATAGTAATAATGACCTAGAAAATACAAGAATATTGCATTTGAGCCTATTTCTGGGTTATTTGTAAAATCTATCAATAGCTCGAGTATTAATTACAAATATTTTTAAGAAAATCTACATGAAAACCAGAGCAAAAGTTAACTAATAATTATCCTGTCTTTCTCTGTTATCCAACGTATCACTCGTTTACAAATCTAATATCAACTATACACTCAATTTACCACTACAGTATAAGAAACAATTTACTTCCTAGGTTTTCAGTAGAACTAAGAAAATATCGATGAATAAATCAATTTTTTCGTTTTTAAAGTATATCTTGACTCTACCATCATCCGATCTCTACTATACACCTTCAACGAGGTATTTTGATACATTTTAATTAACAGTGTATGCTTCTCATCTGTAGTAGCCAATCACTTGTTACCGAACCATTGGCTTACCACAAATGCTCTTTTTCCCTTCGACACCCACATCATCCTTGCCTGATTTCTTTGCCAGCAAATGTTTAAGTTCGTACATCCATCCACCCACTCTCGTGCAAAGATACAAAGACAAAAGAGGGTTACCAAACCAACGCAGTTATACTGCGCACCACGACCAAGGACACCTGGGCGTACAACGCGCGCACACACGTACGTGCAAGGGTGTAGTATAGTCGAGGCTTGGGTAAGCTCGATTCCAAGCCGAGTCAGCTGTTGCGGAAGCCCTTTCTGGCACGCCATCACCTCGACTTCACCGGAGGGCAAGAGCTACCGTGTGACGAGTGCGTGCGGTGTACACATACCTATATACGTACTCGTTTTCGAGGCCACGCGCCGTTTTTTCGCGTACGCGTTAGCGTGACTGTTTGCGCGCACATACATGGGATTTCTTCCGTCCGTAGTCGCAATGTAGATGCTTTCAAAGTTAAGCACCAACGACGACGACAGCCAGCAATTGTCTTGTGGGTGAGCTTTTTCCGCGTTGTTTTGTACTCGAGCGCGAGTAGATGCGGTGTGTCAGCTTAGTGGTGATGGCTTGTTTTGAAGTAGACGACACGCTGAGTTACATTGTACACTCGGTGGCGTTGAATGTTTCAGCTATTCCGGCCGTGGATCCATCTTCGTTCTGACTTCTGGATGGTTTTTTTTTTTTTTTTATAGTTGAAATTCATGTTACACGCGGATTAGCTGTTGAAGTTCAGCTGTCAATAGTATAAAATTTTGCGAAAATAATTTCGTGCTAATAATGTCGTTAGATTTATCGTCTCGGTATTGAATACAATGTTTTTCACTTGGTAGAAAACGGACCATGAAACATTTACAGCAGAGCAAAATGTTATTTTTCCAGATTAAGAAAAACAAATGGTAACTTTCTTGAGCTACTTTGTCACAAAACAAGAAAGTTCTAAAGCGAGATTCCTTCCCGAGATTTTGACAAAGTTCAACTTGCCATTATATTATGTTTCAACTATTGCAAATGTTTTTGAAGTTCTCAGCAGTGAAATGCCCCTCATTCTTTTTTTTTTTTTTCTTTTTGCATTCGATTCGCAGTATATCGTACTGGCTTCAAAATAGTATTAAATTTACGTTAATTACGTCGCTTCTGTCTTGTCCTTTTATCCATCAATTACCGTACAGCTTTTTCATGAAAACCATTCTGAAGGATTCTTTGATGTTCTTTGGTATTCCTCCCTAACTATAAATTGAAAATCGCCTGCTACTCAATGGCCATCAAAACGGTACTTGATATAAGATATTTTAAATCACTTTTCTTGCATTGCTATAATGCTGATTTGCCATTGTGGCGTTACATGAGAAAAGTACGGACATCTCATTAACTGTCCGTTGTTAGTGTATTTGTATCCGTAATGCATTGTGTGTATGTACTAATTTCCAGACCAGTTATTTTATTGAGAAAAAAAAATTTTTCTCTGTACTTCAAAAACTTACGTAGCAATTATATTTACTTCCGGTTCAGAGCACATGATGAATTCAGAGCAAACAATATCTCAGCTTCATTGTCGAATAAAAAATTTAACGCGTACGTTGCTACAAGTGCATTTGTGTGAAAACAAGCACGAAATTACTTAGCTGCTTATATGAGTACTTATTGTTGATACAATCATAATTCATAACGGTTTTTCAAAGTCAAAAACACTTCAGACATACAAACTGAATTGTTATTAAGGATTAAGTTAGTATCTTTTTAATTTATAATAAAATTCTCAAGAAATTATTAATTTATATTCTTTGTCTAAAAATTCTTCCATTGTGAGTAAAGGTTGTAGTATACTCTTGCACTCCCCACGTTTACGTTGTCAAGGGTGAAAAACATTCAACCAATTACTAAATAGAGATTGATATCAGCATCTGAAATTTTTGGATTAAAATTTTGTCTCTCTACCTCATAAGTAATACAAAGAGAAAATATCATTATATGATTAATTTGAATCAATTTGATGAGCATATTCCGATATCAATATATCAGAAATCTTTTCACTGATCGCTATTGTCGGAATACTAGTATGACCTCTAACAATATTAGGCATCACAGAGGTATCGGCTACTCTTAAGTTGGTAATGCCTTTAACCTGAAAAATGTAAGTATAATAATTAAGCTTTATTCACATTTTTGCTTATTCATTTTGACAACTTACTTTCAATCTTGAATTAACGACAGATGATTCATCATCATCACGTCCCATTTTACAAGTACCTGAGTGATGCCATATGGTAAAGGTATATGTCCTCAAAGCGCATTCCCAGTAAGCATCTGAATCAGGTTCATATTTCTCGCACCCAGGTACAACTCGATCATTTAACTGTGAACCATACTGTTGCATAGCTTTTGTCTTACTTAATTGAATAGTCGCTCGAATTCCTTTTATCAAAACGCGAACGTCATCTGGATCAGAGAAGTAATTAGGTATGATTCTTGGTTTATCTTTTGGATTCGTACTTCGCAGTAATATTTTTCCACGGCTTTTTGGCTTCAACAGTATTGGCCATATCAGCCACGCATGACGGCCAAGTTTGTCAGCAAAATAATTAGTCCAATATTTTCCAGTTATTCCCAGAATATTATGAACGAACGGATCAGAAACTAAAGTCCCAGAAGCAAACATAAACTCAATGTTGGGACTATCAGATCGATCCTTCAGGTCGTCAACGTTAAAAAAACTTATACCTTCTGCAGTACCTAAGCTTGCCAAGGGCCCTGTCCTTTTGTTTAAATAATTAGGTATTGCTGGGTTTGTTGGTTTCAAAACGTCAGATATAACAATGGCAATTGTTTTATTGATCGTAAAGAATAGTCCACTGTAGGCTACATGATCCATCAAATTTCGACCAACTGGTAAGTCTTGCAAGACATTAATACCAAATTTTTCCAAGTGTTCCTTAGGCCCAATCCCAGAAAGCATAAGTAACTTTGGAGAAGCTATGGCACCAGCTGACAGAATAACTTCTTTCTTCGCCGTAACTTTGATCTTTCTTCCATGTTTAGTGAATTCCACACCATAGGCTGTTTTCGTCTGAGGGTCAATCAAGACTTTGTTCACGTGACTGTTTATGCTAACTATCAAGTTTTTTCTATTTTTAGCTGGATGTAAGTAGGCTCGATTGCTGCTCATCCTTTCCCCATTTATTTGATTAGTTTGCATGAAATGAAATCCTGTTTGCGTTGGTCCGTTGTAGTCACCTGAAGAAAAACCCATTTCCTTGCCAGCCTCGATAAAAGCTTCAGCTAATGCGCTACGGTAGTTTGGATGCGTTATATGAACTGGACCACCCGAACCATGATAGGTGCCATTGTATTCGATCCAGTCGTTGTTAAAATTCTCCATTTTTTTAAAATATGGCAGCATTCCTTCGTAAGACCAGCTATTGTCACCCGTCAATTCAGCCCAATCGTTGTAATCTTGTTTGTTACCTGGAAAACGCTCATACATATGGTATTTTAAAGTAAAGTTTTTCAAAATTTGTTGTGTAAAAGTTATGTTATATTTTACCTCGAACTGCTAACATTAAATTTATTGAACTTGTTCCTCCCAGTACTCTTCCCATTGCTACCTTACATTGTCGATTTTTTATTCCGAGGCAGTAATCGTTTGAAGGCTCAGTTTTGTAATCCCAATTGACATTTTTGTCGAGCTGTAAGTACAATGCTAGTAGCGGCACGTCCATGATTAATTTTTCATGTCCACCTGCTTCTATCAGTAGAACTTTTAATTCTGGAATTTCACTTAGTCTCGAAGCTATGGTGGCACCAGCACTGCCAGCCCCAACAATGATAAAATCGTACTCTCCTCCATTTTTTGGTGTCTTATCTCGCACTTCATTGGATGCGAATTTGAACGACTCTTGAATAAATTTGTTAAGCCCAACTACTGACTCAAACACGTTTTGAGCGCTCTTGAGTAAATTTTGAAACACATATGAGAAACTAAAAGCTGGATTGACTACTCCAACGAAAATTATAAACAAAATCAGAAGCCAATGTTTCATTGCGTTAAATTGTGTTGCAAAAAGATACGTTAAATACTGAAGTTATTTTATTTCATGTATTGAATATACGTGAAATGACTTACGTTTGACTGAATTATTGTTTCATCTTATAAAAGCAATTACCGTTACGATGCATGAATCTTATCTGTTATTAAAAATTAATGAAATAATCAAATTCATTCGTTATGTAAAGTAAGTAAAGAATTTAACACAAACGAAGTTCTCAGATCAACTGATTAACATTGCGTCAATACAGTTTATTGACAATGCTGCATACATTTTTTAAATTAAAATATACGATTAATCATATTGTTTTTAGCCTCATAAAAACAGGAAAAATGGAATTTAAAAGATTAATGACTTAAACGCAATCAATAAACAACATATTATTTAATACTAATTAGGTAATACGCAGTATAACTAAGTAATGCTTACCTGATGCCATATTTACACTCACAATAATTTTTGTTTCTTTTTCTTGATTTAACGGCTCTTAGCATAAAATTTTATTTGTACTAATTTAAGAGTGATGATAAATTTAAAAAAAGTTACAGTAAATAATTCTTTTTGGTGTTCCGATGAGCCTTCGTTCAATATTTTAAATCTCTTTAGTGCACTCAGAAAATGTAAAATTCATAGCTATTCAGCCAATTTAATTCAAGCTCCTTTTTTGCTCGTTTCATATGCATTAGATAGCTCAAAGTAATATTTTTGTGCCATTTATCGTATCGTTGTAGTTTGATGTTCTATAAAATCAGTTTTAAAGATCGGGTAAAGACTGGAAAGTAGGATTCAGAAGAGTTACTGGGGGAGGTTAGGGACATGGGTTATTATAAATTTGGTTGAGTAATAAAAGCTAATCCCTATATCACATTACGAGATAGCATTTATCAAAAATTTGGCATGAATCTAATCTATTTAATATAAACTTTAATGCAAATAACATCTCAAAATTACACGACTTCACAAAATGTATCATTACGTGATAGAGTCTGCAGAGTGAAGGGTCATTAGTCGGGTTTTAGGATCAACACCTTCCATGTAAAGATGGTATAGCAGACGTGCATAAAATCAATCTTCTGAAAAAATATATTGAAACATATAGATAACAAAGCATACATTTCACACGATTGGATTAGAAGTCCGTTTCTTTACTATACGACATATACATATACATAGATAGAAAACACGCATTTACACGGTACACTTTTTTATTTTTATTTTTCGTCAACTTGAAGGTACCATACGAAATTTGCAAAGTTAGTAACCATACTCATCTTTCAACATATCGGAAATCTTCTCTCCAATCGTTATTGTTGGAATGTTGGTATGAGCTCTAATAATATTGGGCATTATAGAGGCATCTGCTACTCTCAAATTCTTAATGCCTTTCACCTAAAATAAAAAAAAGAGTAAGAATTAAACTTAAAATCAATTGATGAATTATTAGCTTTTATAATTTGACTTACTTGCAATCTTGTGTTAACGACAGAAGATTTGTCATCGTCATGTCCCATTTTACAGGTACCCGAGTGATGCCAGAGAGTCAATGTATATGTCCTCAAAGCGCATTCCCAGTAAGCATCTGAATCAGGTTCATATTTCTCGCAACCAGGCACTACTCGATCATTTAGCTGTGAACCATATTGCTGCATGGCCCTGGTTTGGCTCAATTTAATGGCTAATCGAATTCCTTTTATTAAAGTTCGAACGTCATCTGGATCAGAAAAATAACTAGCAATTATTCTTGGCTTGTCATTTGGATCAGCGCTTCGCAGCAATATTTTTCCACGGCTTTTTGGCTTTAAAAGTATTGGCCATATCGTATAGCCATGACGGTAAAGTTTATCAGCAAAAAAGTCCGTCCAATATTTTCCATTTATTCCAAAAACTTCATGAGTAAACGCATCAGAAACAAAGGTACCAGATGCGAATAATACCTCAATATTAGGACTGTCGGTTTCGTCATCGAAATTGTCTACGTTAACAAAACCCAAGCTTTCTGTACTGCCTACAGTTGATATGGGTCCAGTCCTATTGTACAAATAATCAGTAACTGCTGGATTTTTTGGATCTAGTAAGTCAGATATAACGATACCAACTGGTTTATTAACTGTAAATAATAATCCACCGTAAACCACATGATCCATCAGATTTCGACCAACTGGTAAATTTTGCAGGACATTAATGCTATATTTTTCCAAGTGTTTTTTAGGCCCAATCCCAGAAAGCATAAGTAACTTTGGAGAAGCTATGGCACCAGCTGATAGAATAACTTCTTTCTTCGCCATCACTTTGATCTTCTTTCCATGTTTAGTGAATTCCACACCATAGGCTGTTTTCGTCTGAGGGTCAATCAAGACTTTGTTCACGTGACTGTTTATGCTGACTATCAAGTTTTTTCTATTTTTAGCTGGATGTAAGTAGGCTCGATTGCTGCTCATCCTTTCCCCATTTATTTGATTAGTTTGGACGTAATGTATTCCTGTTTGCTTTGGCCCGTTGTAGTCACCTGAAGGGAATCCCAGTTCCTTGCCAGCTTTGATGTATGCTTTTACCAATGGAGTACGATATCGTTCATGATTAATGTGAACTGGACCTTGAAAACCATGATACGTATCATTGTATTCGATCCAGTCGTTGGCAAAATTTTCCATTTTATTGAAGTACGGCAGCATTCCTTCGTATGACCAGCTGTTGTCACCTGTCAGTTGAGCCCATTCGTCATAATCATGTTTATTACCTAATAAATGAAGATACATATAATGTTTGTAATTATTTTCCTCCAAAAGTTCACATACTAAGCTAAAACTACAAATTACCTCTGACAGCGAGCATCAGATTCAATGAACTTGATCCACCTAATACTTTACCCATAGATACTTTACACTGTCTATTGTCGATACCAAGACAATATTCATTTGAAGGATCCGTCATGTACTCCCAATTGATATTTTTGTCGAGCTGTAAGTACAACGCTGATATTGGCACGTCCATGATTAAACTTTCATGGCCACCTGCTTCTATCAGTAGAACTTTTAATTCTGGAATTTCACTTAGTCTCGAAGCTATGGTGGCACCAGCACTGCCAGCCCCAACAATGATAAAATCGTACTCTCCTCCATTTTTTGGTGTTGTATCTCCTACTTCATGAGATGCGANAGTAGAACTTTTAATTCTGGAATTTCACTTAGTCTCGAAGCTATGGTGGCACCAGCACTGCCAGCCCCAACAATGATAAAATCGTACTCTCCTCCATTTTTTGGTGTTGTATCTCCTACTTCATGAGATGCGAATTCAAACGACTGTTGAATAAATTTACCTATACCAACCGCCGATCCAAAAATATTTTTTAAACTCTTGAGTATATTTTGAAATTCATGCAAAAAACCGAACGCTGGACTGACTACAACCACGAAAATCAAAAACCATACGAGAAAGCAACGCGCCATTACAAAATATTGACAAATATTTCAAAACGATATGGCACACGCTTATAGCTTTTTTTTACGTTATTAAATCCACGTGGATCAAATTTTATTTCAGGGTAAGTATGATGTATTTTATATACAGGATCCCTGATGATTGCACATAACTGTTATCAGCAACTTAAATATTTATACAACATTTAAGTGCATTATTGGTGTTCAGTGTGTAAAAATAAAATCAAACCAATATATTCGCTTTGAAGTCGGTTTACAAAGGTAGTGTACATTGATGCAAGTAAAAATATGTTAAATTAATCGTGAGTTTATTCAGCTGATCAAGCATACGTAATAATTTAGGTTATATGTAATTAATATTCATCGTGCAAGGGTACAGGTATTTGAGGTTTAATAAAAAAATAAAAAGTACAATATTTAAAAGAAAAAAAGATATTTTCTAAAAAGTCTATTGTATCTTTAGAAACATTTGAACTGTTTAGAATCTTTTGAGTAATAAAATCTAAAGTTTAAAAATAAAATCTAAAAATATTGAAACAACGTGCTTTCCTACCAGTGCTCTTTGGTCAGGATGGGTAAATATCCAGTTACTGCTACACCTTGTGTTTGCCTCGATGGAGTTGACTAGTGTTGAAACCTACTAATAAGTCGACAAATGATACATATACAATGAAATTTTTCTCCCCAGTTTATAAAAATC